AAATAGAGGTAAGAGTAGAAAGTTAAGAGGAGTGGAAAATGAGGTTGGCTATGAAGAGAAGAGCCATAACTTTTTGTTTAATATTGTGACCAGTTTCTGTTACTACAAAACCTTTGAATTGCAGAAGATTCAACTTTATACTAATTATTTGGCATTTATGGGTAGGATGCGTGGGATAGATAAAAAAATAACTAGTTTTAATTATATCAGTAAGGATCTGTACTATGAAAGATGAGAAACAGGAAAAGCTTTTCAAAATTAGAATTATAGGGACTTCATGACTGGTTCTAAGTATTGAATGAAAGAACTGAATTAAAGATGGCTTCATGATAGCTGCCAACAAAAGTCTCATGCACGTTTTGTAAAGGAACACCTGTGGAGGAATACCTGTGAGGAAGCACACAAAGAACAGACAGAGACACAAAAAGTAAAGCAGGTAGACAGGATGGAGTGGATAGGAGTGAAATGAAGTGGTGAAGAAAAAATGCAGAAGTGAAGTGTCCACTCCTTCCTGCCTGGGAGTTTAACTCAAAGAACACATACCTCCCATTACCCTGACTATATTCTAATTAGTATTTCTTTAACCAAAGTGCTAGCTAACTGAGATAAAGTCCAGGTTAATACAAACACACAGCCCCTTCTCTCCAAGGACATTGCTAGGGAAACCAGATAGTGCCTGCATAGTTGTCTTATTACCTCAGAGGGAAGAGGCTCCTGGGAATCAGGGCGCCAATTATTCCCTGGGAGTTTGCTCACCAGGGGAACACTTCCCTGGATGTTTGCACGGTCAGAATACCTACAACATTTGAAGGTAGACTAGAAGGTACAAAGGATAGAACTTCAATATAAAACAGGACACGTATCTCTGTTTATCTTTTTGTGACAGATAAGTGGTATTATTTGCTAAGAGTGCATATGAGCTTAAAGAGAGGTTCAGTATGGCCTTGTGTATGATAATCTAGTGACCTTCAACTTGACAAAGTTCTGTCTAAAGCATAAAGAAATCTCATGACGTGAGTATTGGGCAGGTCAGTCTTTGGGTGGCTGTTGGTTCTTCAAGCAGACCTATGCAGCCTGGAAGCCAGAGTGAAAAGCCGATACCAGTTTGGCCTAGGAGGAGTATAGTGTCAAAATGAGGATGACATAGAAAATTGAGTAAAATTTAGAGTTAAGGATCACAAAGTCCCAGCCAGAAAAGGTGTGTAGAGTACAGGATGCTTTAAGTCCCTGACTTATCTATAATATTTGTGTAGATAGAAGAAATAAATGAACAAATTAGAAAAGAAAAAGAGGAAGCTGAGGCTCGTATGCGACAAGCATCGAAAAATGCAGAGAAATCAACTGGTGGAGGTGGAAGTAGTAGTAAAAATTGGTCAGAAGATGATCTGCAGTTGCTAATTAAAGCTGTGAATCTCTTCCCTGCTGGAACAAATTCAAGGTATTGGTTTTCATGAAATTTTTCTTCAACACATACTGGAGCCCAGAGATAGTGTCAAAAATCCAAATTGCAGCAATGATTAGAGCATTAATTTGCAGGGATAAACCTGAGTCTGTAAAACTGCCTTCTATTAAATTCTGTTTAACAATGCATTTTTAACCTTATTAGTCTTATCCATTACACCAGCACATACATACAGCAAGATGTTTTATCAGTTAGTTGCTCCCCACCACAAACCGGAGCTTATTTTTGATTCTAGGTTGAGCACTCAAAGAAGCATTAGAGACCCAGCCTCTCTTATTATAATAGAAATGGAAACTAAGGCTATTTTTAGTGATCTCTCCTTTTTTTAAGAAGTATGTGTTAATTTGGCAGTATACATAAACGTATGGTTTTATTTTTGTTGGTTTATACACAGAATCATAAAGTTTTAGCAAACTTAAAATCAAGATTATAGATAGTTGATTTCAACATGTGAAAAACAAGAACTATGTAGTCCAGGCAATAGTAAGGTTGAGTAATAAATAAGACCACCAATGTATAGCAATAAAAACGTAATGGTATCTGTTTTGTTTTTTTCTTAATATTACTAAATTCGTATGTTGATTGTTGTAGATGGGAAGTTATTGCTAATTATATGAACATACATTCCTCTTCTGGCATCAAAAGAACTGCCAAAGATGTTATTGGCAAAGCAAAGAGTCTTCAGAAACTTGGTGAGTGACAGTTTTGAGAAATAAGTTTGGTACCTTGGATACATTGTTTTTAAGTAATTTTTTATAATTTAATTAAAAACTAAATGATGGGGTTGGGGCTGTAGCTCAGTGGTAGAGGGCTTGCCTAGCATGCATGAGGCCCTGGGTTCGATCCTCAGCACCACATAAAAAATAAAGGCATTCTATCCATCTACAACTACAAAAAAAAAAAAAATTAAAAAACTAAATGAGATATTTTGTTAATGTTACAACATTTTCTTTTCATTCCTCAGACCCTCATCAAAAAGATGACATAAACAAAAAAGCTTTTGATAAATTTAAAAAAGAACATGGAGTGGTACCTCAAGCAGATAATGCAACACCTTCAGAACGATTTGAAGGTAAGTTCTTTTTAGAAGTAGAAAATGCTAGCCAAGATTCCAGGCTATTTAAGGACTTAAAAAACCTGGGGTCTGTTCAGAATGATTGGAAAATAAAATGTTTGACAGGAAGATGTAAAGCAAGAATTTTTAGACAGTTGCATTGTTTACTTCTGCTGACCATTAATAGTTGAGAAGTGCAGTTCTTCCCAATCAGAGGCCATAGAGGAGGGGCTATCCTTGTTCACCAGATACTACAAATGACTGTTGGGTGTAATTGGAGCAGTTAAAGAAATAATAGTATTTAATCAAGGTTAATTTCCTGGTTTTGAAACATTTATGAATGCCCTTATTTTTATGGAAAAAGTATTAAATTATTTAGGGAAGGTATTCGTGTCTAATAAGGTAGTCTAAAATGATTCAGAATACATTTCCATACATAAAGAAAATAAGCAAATATGGCAGAAATGTTCACATTTAGAGAATCTAGTTAGAACAAGAATTTTTTACTCTCTAGAAAGAATTTCAAAATAACAAAACCCATTAGAATGCTGTCACTGTTTTGAGATTCTTCCTAATTTGATTATCCTGAACCAGTGTTTTTTAAACTACAAATCACGACTCACAATAGTTACAAAATCAATTTAATGGGTTGTAAATACAAAATATTAGCAAGTGTTAAACTTGTAAACAGGTTTTATATGTACAGTTTTGTCTGCACATGCGAGTGTGTGTATGTGTATATGTCTGTCTGTCTTTGGGATATGATACAAAGTTGTGGGGGTTTCTTTAACTGTGAGAAAAACATTTGAAGAAGTTGTTTCACTTTATGTTTTTGTGAGCCTCCAACCCTTTCTCTTCTTAAACTAATCTTGGGTATGCTTTCCATATCATCATTCCAAATTTTTTTTTTTTTTAATCTAACATTCCCAGTTTTTTTTTGTATTCTTAGACTGGCAATTATCCCCAAAGGTAGTTTGAAAATAGAGGAGACTTAGAATGTTCTAGAAAGGAAGGGGAATCATTCTGTCCTTATAAAAATCTAGGACGAGTTGTTTGAGCTAGATTTTATTTTGGCTTATGTGAAGATAAGTAACCAAAGGGGAAGTTTCAGAACACCTCTTAAGAGGGCACTTTTTTTTTTTTTTTTTTTTTTTTTTTTTTAAATTTTTTTTTTTTTTTTTTTTTTTAACTTTTCAAAGTTATTTTTTATTTTTAGTTGTAGATGGACACAATACCTTTATTTTATTTATGTGGTGCTGAGGATCAAACCCAGTGCCCCAAGTATGTGAGGCAAATGCTGTACCACTGATCCACAACCCCAGCCCTAGAGGGCACTTTTTAAAAGTTTATTCCTCTCCTTTATCTCTTCTATAAGATATCATTGTTCAGATACTAGCACACTATTCCCAACTCTTCCTTATGGAACTTTTCATGTTGGAGAGAGACGCTGATGTTTGTGCCCACATCCAGTCTTCTTTCTATGAGAAGTGAATGACCCTGTGAGGGCAGGATTGACTGGCAGTGTTGCTATCTGTGTGTGACTTCATCTCCTTATTTATTTTTATGTGGTGCTGAGGAACCCAGTCCCTTACCAGCGCTAGGTGAGCACTCTACCACTGAGCAACAACCCCAGCCTCTTGAATAATGGTTTCTAATAGGAATTTTGCAACACTGTTTCACTTTATTTGGGTATTAAGTAACTGGAAAACTTCAGAAAATAATTGCATGTTACTTCCATCTTTTTTCTATGAGGAAATGAACTAAATGTGTATTAAGGTGGGCTTTAGACCAAGAAAAAGAAATTCAATTAAAGGCTTCCTGGAATTTAAAAGCTACCCTCAGAAAATGCTAATCTCCTTCAAATATGGATATGTTCTTTGCCTTGTTTTGAGTTAGGTGTCAGTTTTTTTTTAATTAGGAAATACTTTTTTAAAGCTTTATATTATACCCAGTCTTCTCACAGAGTATAATTTCAAACAGTTGTCAGATTATGGATAGTATATAGGGGTTACTGCATGATCTGAAGCAACTAGATTGCCAGTAGTCCATTAATTTAGAATAACCAAATTAGCTCATCATTTTAACACTCTCATTTCATGTGCAGAAGTGGGCTGACGCTTACTATCCTTAGGAAATATATTTGTCTCTGACACATGTATTAGAAGTTTTCCAAGTTTTTAGCAGTCTACTCCACAAGATTTTAGCAGGTGTGGTGACAACTAATCTTAGCTTGTCCCTATAGCACTGAAAGTTTGGGCACTTAATTTTGATAGGCTTGTTTCCTCCAGTGTAAAATGTTTCCCAGGAACCTATCCAAACATTGTGTAACTCGAGGCAGTTCTTTGTCCTCTCCTACTTGTAAGGAATAAACAAATCTTAAATGTCTTAGTCATGGTTTTGAGCCCAAGAATACAAGTTTTAAATCTAACTTTAAAAATGAGGTGTTGGGGGCTGGGGATGTGGCTCAAATGGTAGCGCGCTCACCTGGCATGCGTTCGGCCTTGGTTCGATCCTCAGCACCACATACAAACAAAGATGTGTCTGCCGAAAACTAAAAAATAAAAATATTTTTTTAAAAAAAATGAGGTGTTGGGCAAGTATAATATTAGATTTTTAAGAGAACAGCAATATGAGGTAGATGTTTACTATTATGCCATGTTTAAAAGGCCCTTGAGATGTTTCATTTTCTAGGAATATAAGGAATTGTTCTAACACTTAGAATGTATACATGTCTCAATCTCTAGAAGTTTGCTCAGAGTTTCATTAGCGTAGGCACTTGATTCTTTTTTTTCACCAAACGATTTATCTAGGAAGGCATTCCAAGATAATTTTCTACCAGTTGGGCTAAGATTTTCCAAATAAAAATTTTTCTTAAATAGTTCCATGCACAGATTTCACCCCTTGGACGACAGAAGAACAGAAGCTTTTGGAACAAGCTTTGAAAACATACCCAGTCAATACACCTGAAAGATGGGAAAAAATAGCAGAAGCAGTTCCTGGCAGGACAAAGAAGGACTGCATGAAACGATATAAGGTTGTGTTTGAGTTTATAGATTCCATTATAATTTAAATTATAATTTGTAATTAGCATTTTAGTTATAGCTGTTAAATGGGTAATAATATAGATTATTGTGTTTATTTCAGTTTCCAAAGTTATGGGCCAAAATTATTGCAGAAACCTAGTTTCTAACCCTAGCAGTTAGTAAAATCAGAATTTTGCAGCACTGTCTTAATTTTTAGATTCATCCAGTTTGAATTATTTACATATTTGTACCAAGTACTGGATATATCTGTTTTTAAAGTGACAGTTTCTTAATTTAAATCAACTTTCCATTCTAGGAGCTCGTCGAGATGGTAAAAGCAAAGAAAGCTGCTCAAGAGCAAGTGTTAAATGCAAGTAGACTCAAGAAATGACATAATGACAATCTTTATTGTGTGCATTTTTATAATAAAACTGAAAATACTATATAAACTTTCATTTTCAAAATTATATTTATTGTATCAAAGTGCTCTTTCCAAAATAATTTTTCAGAGCACAAAGATCTACCGTTAAAACGATCATCAGGGCTGTAGTCTTATATGACACCTCTTTGTTTCAAATTTCCAAATTTGTATTTTCCTTTAGGGATCAGTAGTTTAAAACTTGCAAATTCTTAGTTTCATAAATATATGTTTAAAATATTTCCATTTTGCATTTCTTAATCACGAAGCCAGCGCATGTTACTGCAAATCTGGTTAAAATCTGGTAGCTGCTCAATGGGACCTATAGATTAAAAAGAAGATGGTTAAAAATGACAGAAGTGCTTAGCCAACTTTCTACACAGGAGAAAAGGAAACCAGGCTTACCAACTGCAGCAATAGCTGGACTTTTATCATAAATATATTTGGTACATACTTCTCGAACTGTCTTAGCATTTACAGCCTGAAATAAGGAAGATACTGTCAGAACTTTTTGTAGTAAGAACAAATTCTATCCCTGGAACCTTAAAAACTAAAGCTCTTCTAACAAGAATGCTTTTACACAGGATCCAATAATATCTAAAGACAACTTACATCAATTCTTGCTTCAAGCTCAGGGATAGGAATTCTTCTATTATAGCATAACATTTGCCTACCAATATCTTCACAAATTGGAGTTGAACCTGGTTAAAGAGAAGAAACTAATAATTTAAGTATTAGATTTTTTTTTTTTTAAGGTGTTTGGGATCAAACCCAAGGCATTACATGTATTAGGCAAGCGTCCTACTACTGAGCTACAACCCTAGCCCCTAAATATTTATTCTTACCATCAAGCTGCAACAACATGTTTGTTTTCAGAAGATTTTTGGCTCGGGCAACTTCACTCTCAGTGACACTTGTACAGAGTCGCATCCTAAGAAACATTGAGAAACTGGTATTATTGTTTTTTCAGGTATTGCTATTTTTGCAAATCACATATAAATTTGTGTAATTGCTCATTAGAAGACTAAGGTTCAGCACAATATAAAAATAAGCTGCCTATCTCCTGATTCAAATACTAGTCTTCAATTAAAACACTAAATTTTCTTTTTCTTTTTTTAAGAGAGAGAGAGGGAGAATTTTAATATTTATTTTTTTCTTTAGTTTTCGACGGACACAACATCTTTGTTTGTATGTGGTGCTGAGGATGGAACCTGGGCCGCACGCATGCCAGGCGAGTGTGCTACCGCTTGAGCCACGTCCCCAGTCCCTAAATTTTCTTTTAACGAACAATTTCTCATTCAATTTTCATACCCTGCCTTTCCAAGTCAGATTACTTCTAGATTTTTCTGAACAACTTTTGGTTAGCTTAAGTTTTAGGATCTTCTTTATGAAGTAATCTACTTATAAAAGATTTACAAATTTTCTTATAGTATAAAGCAGCTTATATGAGACTTGGAGGAAACATATCTATGATCTTTAAAAACATGGTAACTGCTGCTATTACTTTAAAAGGTAAAATTACCACCACAAAATAATCATAAAATATAAAAAGGAAACTGGCCTAGAATATGAATCCTAGACAATAAACTACTTAAATTTTTTTTTCTCACCATTCTCTTTGAACAACATGTAGCATGTCTGCGATTGTGGCTGGTTCACAAACCATATAGAGTCCCCATAATCCTGTATCTGTGTAGGAAGTGTTGAAAGACTGGAAGCTATGACAAAGATTGCCATGACAAGTGAGCTGGGCCAGCTTGCTAGATAAGTTCTATAAGGAAAACAATAGTCTAAGAGAATTGTACACATGTCTAAATTGCCAGAAAGAAAAATGAGATAGCAAATGCCCTAAGAGGCATTTCCTAGTTTTATCCAGCAACATTTCAGTAATTAAAAATTGAACTCAGTCTAAGAATTTCTCATCTGGTTCAATGCACAATGTAAAAGCAATGAATCTTTGTAATTAACATAGTTATCAACCCATATGTAGGGCTGTAAGATCTGAAATTGCATTGTATGTGAAGCCTAAGGTATTTATTTGAAAAGTAATTCTGATTTACAGAAGAATTATAAAAACAGTACAAAAATCAATGAGTTACAGCCCCAACCCCTATCCAGATTTCTTTAACAACTATTATTTTCAACAGTTTGGGAGAAAGCTTCTGATAGGATTTTAAACACTGATATAATACTATTAATAACTTCTCTATTATAGTTACTGCATTACTATTACAGTAGTAACTAATAACTAATTCTGTCCTTATTTTGCCAATTTTTCCACTAATAAACTGTATGGCAAAGATAGTTTTTTCTAGGCTCAGATGCAATCCAAGATCAGTTTATATAAGTCAAAAGTCATAGAACAAAAGCTCCGTTTTTGCATTTCAAAGGGAAGATTCTTACAAAGAATTTATATTCAGGAAAATATGGTGATCTTCTAATTAGCATGGGAAGTAACTCTTAAAATCACTCACCATTCCTCCTCCAAAAGAGCGATCCCAGTTGCCAATCAGTGTGTTGGCAACCATGAGACAAATTGTATCTGGATGTGCCCAACCAACAGCTTCAACAGCTATTGCAAGGTGTGCCAAAGGCATCTTGTCATCCCTCACTCGAATCTAGTTAAAGAAAAAACATACTGTAGGCAGAACTTAGCCAAGAGTAAACCCAAGTTAAGAGTCAAAATTTGGGATCTTTTATAAAGTTATCGTTATACTTTACCATATTTAAGTGGGTACTGTGCCAAAGAAAAAGCACAAAATGACCAAATATAACACTGCTCTTAAGACCTTGCTTTCTTCCAAAAGAAAAACAGGCAGTATTAAATAATATGGAATAGGAAGCAATGTAAGCAAAGGCACCCATTCTCTTGCCTTTCCTATGTTTCAGTTTAGATTTCTTCCATCTAACTATAAGAAATATGCACATTTTGCCAGGCAGTGTGGAATAGGCTTCTTGGGAGCCTGAAGCAAGATTCTCCCAAGTTCAATGCCAGCCTAGGCAACTTAGCCAAGACCCCATCTCAAAATCCAAAACTATAAAAGGCCAATTTCTAGCTAGGAGGCTTACCATACCTCACTTCCTGTGAATTTGCAGGGAGGCAGAACTGGTACTTCTCCTTTATGTGCATATAAAGAGTCACCAAAATGAAACTTTGCTAACTCAAGCAATTCTTCATGGGAAACACCTAAATTGAAAAATAAAATTTTTTTTTTCATTTGTATCTAACAGCAGTACAATCTAAGACTGCCAACTGCTAATACTTTGCTTTACAGTAAACTCTAGGTGGTATGTGATGTACACTACACATGAACTGTTCATACAAATTCATTAAAAGCCATTTAAGAGTAAATGGCTCACAATATTCATTTCCTTGATGCAATTAAGGCTTGTGTTTGCACAGATTTCTCATTTTGTAGAACTGACAGTTTTCATCAATATGAATTTTACAACTTAAGGCAGTAATTCAACTTGAAAAATATAATTTTCTATACAAACATTATATTGAGTTATTAAATTTCTAAGATGCAACCTAGCAAATAAGGTCCATTTTTAATGTTATTTTTTAAATAGGAAAGAATACAAATAAGGGTTCCATCTCATTTACAGAAAGCTGGATAGACAGATATGCTTTATTCTTTAAATCTTATTAGAACCCAACAACAAAAGTTTCATCTAAATTTCTGAACACATTCATAGTTATCTACCTGCTCACTACTTGATATACAAAACTGATTACTTAGATTCTATATTCCTTACTATTCTAACTGGGAACCAAAACAGATTCAGTCAGGGAAGGATTCTTAAACACAAATATAAACTTACAAACATGTGCAAGTGCTTTAAAAAAATAGTGTCATAAGATTTCTTTAAGCAAACGATTAGAATATAAAAGACAACTTATACCCATATTTTCCAAATCTGGTGTGATAACAACAGTGTAGGATGTGACAGGGGGCTCACCTGCTTCCAAGCACCCAGCCAGCCCGCTGATTCCTGCCAAGAAGCTGCAGTAGAGCAGCAGAGCAACAACTGTGGTGGGCTGCAGTGCAGGAGGCAAGCAT